CCACCCTGACGCCACTGCCGGCCTGAGTTACAACCGCGTTTTCAAACTCAGGCCATGACAAAGTTGCTGATGCCTGTTTTTTCTGCCTTTGCGAACTCAAAACATGCCGCGTCTGCGGTTGTTTCTTCAAAATTTTACACAGTTGGAAAGTATGGTCACTCCTCCTTCGGCCCAGTAACATCCGTCAGTCAACAGCTTCAGGTATGTATCTCGCTAGTGTCTCCCCCCCCCCTCTCTCTCTCAGTATGTACACGATCTCTCTTTCCGCTCAAATATGAACACATCTCTTCCCTCACATGTATGTACACTCTCCCTCTCTGCCTCACGTTCTCTATGCCTGGATCTATCCCTGAGTACACCCGCCTCCTTCGTCTCAAGCCGCTATGGCTGCCTGTTGCTTCTTCACCCCAGCGGCTATGTCCACCTTCCTCTTCCTCGTCTCCAACTTGCTTCGCGTCGTCCTCCTCGTTACGACAAGGCACAGGCTCGCGATGGTCGCAAAAGCTGCGCAGTGCTTCCGCTGCTCCCCGTGAATAGATTTGAGCAATTTTCATTATAAAAAAAAAATGTACAACTCTGAATGAGTCGCCAAGGCACTGTAGCTGCTTTTCTAGTTATATGGGCGGGGTTGATCTTCTTGGACCAGTACCGACCGCTTGGGCCTGTGTGCAGTGGACTGCATGTTTCTCGGGTACCAGTACCTTCGGAAGGTGCTGCCGCAAGGTTGGACTTTCAGCTTCTGGACATTTCCTTTGGTACCAGGCCCAACCAGTAACGACTTGACTTCTGGACTCTTCAGCCCAACAGGTAGACTTCGACCTCTAGACCTTTCTTGACTTGGGCCTACGACTGCCCGAAACTGGACCCTGCTGACTTCTAACGGGACTGGACCCTACAGACTGGATGGAAGCTTCTGGATGTTGCCCTTGGCCCTAAAGTATTTAGCATTTCTCCTATAAGGGTCGTGTGGCCCTCAACTCTTCGAATTTGGCCTTGGCCTAAGGGCTTGAGATTCTGAGCCCCGACAGGGCCTGGCTAATAGTCACGTGAATCTTTTCACTTTGCCACCTGACATGGCCCCCAAAATCTAGTAAAGCCCGCCTTCGCCCGAAAAAAAACTTTACACCCCGATGTCATCCAGCCCGCGGCCGGCATGAATACCCTTGCAAGGGTATTTGCGTATTTTTGTGCCTCGCACAAGATACATCTTTGATGATATTTGAGAGAGCAAAACATTTTTGCACCGCCCGCGATAGACTCTCAGAAGTGGGAACGGCGCGCGCATGTGTGGTTAGGTCAAAGAGTGTGTGGGCGTGCACTTTGGGGGCACGTGTGGATTCAACCAGATGTTTGATGGCTTAACAAACATATAAGTGTAGTTAACGACCTCGCACAATAGTGCGAGCTAGGGAGGAATTAAAAATTTGATTAGCATCATGCACGTACTGAGTGCGCTCACGCAGAGACTGGCATTTTGATGGTCGACGTCAAGGTTAGTTATAGGAACCGTGGTCCGAGGGGATTTTTACCGGAGGTGGCGCTTGGGTCCACGTAGTGTGAGGTGCGTTGAGTGCTCAAAGTTGGTCGTGCTTTGGCTGGCGGTAGAAACCGCCAACGACCTTAGCACGGATGGCACGAACAGGGTGTGGTATGAGTAAAAGTCGGGGTTTCCCAACACCGACGTAATAAAGGCGCGGCCTTTTGAGAGAATAGCCGGTTGGGAAAGTTGAAATCTTCGGCGACAGCACGGCTTGGTCAGATGCGCTGCGGCCGTGAGCAAGGCCGACCCCTCCAAGCGGCAGGTGCGGAATGTGGTGACCGTGGGAGCAGCCATTGGCCAAGCTGCGGCCTTTGGTATAGTTTTGCAGGCCTAGGCCCAGGGCGGATACACCTTATAATGAAATGCGTGCCTGCTACACCCAGCCATGGGCCTAACACTATAGGTTACGACATGCAGTTGACAAGCTACACATACAGGGATTAAGGCCAACTGCTGGCGACGACAGAGCTGTCGAGTAGGATTGAAGGAAGCCGAGGGATTGAGCGTCTATTGGACTATCCCCCATGGCTTTTGCGGTCGAGCCCGATCATGGGCCCGACTGATAGGACCAAACGGGTACCAATGGGTTCCTGTCTCTCCCCTCCTCATCAGCCTTCTTTTTCTTTTTTTAGTTGCGTTTTTGGGTCGGGACCGGTACCGGTTCCGGGGACGGTAACGGGACCCGAGGCCTAGCCCAGTTGGTATGCCCACAAATTGTCGGAATACAGACTCAAGTTTGAATCCAGGTACAATCAGGTGAACAGGATCAAATGGGTGCCTTACGAGCCCGGTCAAGGCAAGGGGTACTCCCTGGAAGAGGTCGCCTGTAGCTCAGTGGACTCGTACCGGCTGTAGCTCGGTGGACTCGTACCGGCTTGCTTCCCGAGCTCGAGGGAATATAAGTCAGGAGGCGCGGTTCATTTGGGAATTTTTTCTCCTGCCAAATCGATTAGAGAGTCGAAAGGCGATTAAAGAGGGAGGGAGAAAAGGGTGATGTCAGCAGGGAAGTCGAGGTTAGAAAAAGGTGAGGACGAAGGGTAAGAGGGCACGATGCAGGAGAATGAAGAGTGGAAGTGAGTGGAGTGTGCGCATTTGCGCACGCATTATAGAGTGAGACAGGGAATGACCTACCTGTTCGCCGCGAAGATCTTCATCAAGACGCCGCTACTGATTGTGTTGCTGATCGTGGCTATCGCCGCGGTCACAGTGTTGCTCACATTTGTCACCAAGATCATTGTTGGCAATGTATCTTCACAGCTTCTAGGGGAAGATTCATTCTCGTTTTGGACATTTGATGAGTAGTGGAGTGAGTCCCATTGGCCGCGTGCGCACCCACTCGTAAAGCCGCTTTTTGAGTTATGGTAAGCTGCTCAAGACTTTACCTTTTCGGCAGTGCACATATTTAAACCACTGCCCTCAGCTTTCAGGGGGGGTTACTGAACTCGGAACTGCTTTCGAACTGGTGTTACTGCTGAGTAATTAAGGTGATGCTGAGCAGTGAAGTATGTTGTTGTTGATGCGGTGAGGTGTTATCGCTACGAAGCAGCGAGTTGGTACAACAGTGTGTTGTCTCACTTTGGGCTACTGTACTTTGGGTGTTGTTGCTGTTTCAACCACGAACTGTTGCTGCCTATGTTTGGATTGGGGGCTTGCTGTGGTTGTTGGGTATTGGATCCACTATTGCTGCAGAGTCTTTTTTTTTTTTTTTTTTTTTTTCAAACATACCCCCACCGGTGTTAGTGGTGCTGATAAGAGCAGACACCACTAGCACCTGGGGAGAGGCTCCATCTATTGGTGGGGAGCATCACGTGCTGGGAAACGGGCCCAGCGTCCCTTATACAGATTGGATTTACAGCATGTCAGAAAAGGAACCAGTGT